AAAGATTTTCTCATAAATTCGAATGAGTCAACACCAAAACTGACATGTTATTACCAAACCCCACCAACTCCCCTACCTTCCCTTGCTTCCTGCATTTATGACTGTATGATCAAATGGCTTAAAAACATTAAAATCAAATCCCTTAGAAACATTAAAAAACAAAAAGTAATAATAATAAATAACAAAACATTTAATAACCAACCATTTATCCACCAAGTAAACAAATACGAATCACACAATTAGTTCATTATAGAGTCCTACATCCTTAACGTTTTCCCATACTTGCCTTGATAAATCAAATAAATATATAGAGAAGTTTCAACAAACAAAACAGAAAATCAAAACAAAACACAACCTTCAATAGAGGAAAACCAATAGCAAGATGACACGTGGCTTCCAACGTGGCAATCTCCGTGGTCCCCTTTCTTTTTCTTTTTTTTGTCTTCTTTTAACTGCAATAGTACTATGTATGTAATATTGTTACAGAGATTAGTTACATGATGATTAGTATAATAATCATGTCTGGGGCGTGGTATAAAAATAGGAATAAAAAGTTTCACGCAGCCCGTAATGGGAGTGGTTGTGGCTGCCCGTGATGTTGCTGCCCGAGATGGCCACACAAACTGTGTTGTAACTACAAATCCAAAAGGGAGTAGAATGAATCAAGAGCCAGATCCGAAAACCATTTCGCATAACAAACCTTATCCCACGTCTCCAGATGGAAAAAAAACACACACACATCAACCCAACACAGCAACCCCCCCCCCAAAAGGAAAAAAACACAAAAAATAAAACAAAAAAAAAAATACTAAGTAAATACAAAAAAATATTCCTCTCTCCTCTCTCCCTTCCTCTGATGCCCTGCCTGAGTGGGTGAGTGGGTGGGGTGGGGTGGGTGCCCTAATGCTGTTGTTCCCTTCAAAAGTTCCCCTCCTTCGGGAACACCTACACCCTCCCACACACATATTCTCATTAAAAAGCACAAGCACGCTGTTCTTTATTCCACACTTACAATGGCAAATCATGTACTTCCACTTATCACCCCACCTAATCGGAAAGAAACGTGTGAGAGAGAGAGAGAGAGAGAATTGGGAACGTGGTTCAATGTGGTTCCCCGTTCACCTAATTCCCCCAAAAAGGCAACGTTGCACACACTTGTGAAAAAAAAGGTAAAGGTCGCGTCAATACAGCGGAGAGAAAAAGTCAGTCGTTACTTTCTCATATTTGGTCTCTTTGTGGAGCTTCTTGTGTATGTTACCCCCGTAACAAAGCTGTATAATACTTTTAAATATTCAATTTCGAAATATATATATATATATGACTGGGTTATTTCGTGTTTAAAATTGCCTTTTTTCATCATCTGCTTTAAATATAACAGTGAATTTTAAATTTTTAAAATTTTTCCCTTAAATTACATGATGTTTTTCCTTCTTTGAACATACTAAGTGAGATTTCCTGATAAACATAAGTTGATGCGATCAGACGTTCTTCAACCACTCATATACTGTATTTTTATTTTTTGCATGTGTAATGCACTTGTATTATTCGAAAGTAAAGCTTGTTAATATGAATTATAATAGAATAATATAAATTATAGGTTTTCATTTCATCCCATCAAACAGCAATCAAAAAAATAAATGGGCAAACTAGCTTGAGATGACTTAATTTTTTTTTGGAAAATATCTTCTCCTTCTAGATCTCAGTACTTTGAATGTATACAACCAGATTTTTCAATTTCTTCACCAGAAAAACTTCACACAATTTAAGATTTGTTGTTGTAGATGGGAAAAGTTGTTTTTTTCTTTTCTTTTCTTCTCTTTCCTTTTCTGGACATTCATACTTGGGAAGCATTAATATATAATTGCCACGTCAAGCTGGATCTTGCACATTCATCCATGAGCAATATCAAACACAGAAATTTCTACACCATTGTGCAAAAAATTCCAATTAGGGTATGCTCCCACACCTAGTCCCAAACTTGATTTGTGGTTGTTTAAAAACAAACCCACTCTTACCAACACCCACATGCATGGGAACACAGTTTACTTTTAATAGCACAATTACAATATAAAAACTTCCATGCATGCACTGCTGGATATGATTTTTGAGCATTGGAATCAAATCACCAAAAGCAAGACCATTCATTAATAAAATTCCAATATTGGGCAGTAGGACTGACTTTGATCCTCCCTGCAGTTAAACTTCTTGATGACATCCTCTCTTTCTATGCATGTTTTTATTGTATAAACTGGGTTAATAGTATAGTATGGACCAGTGGCCATGCTAGTCACATGCACTGCCCCCCACATTAAGAAATCAGATCAGCCACAAATGATTAGAGGAGAACAATTCCAAACCATAAAAATGATGTTGCATTCCCCTCTTCCTAGTCTACTGAAAAAGGTTTAGATCTCTAGACTAGCAGCTACTAAGATTGTCCTTGATATCATGCAAAACAGAATTATCCACATGGAATGCACACCCATGCCAGAGAGAGTCACAGAGAGAGAGTGCAGAGATGTGATTCCGCCTCGGAATCACCTCCCCCCCCCTTTGGGTTCCATGCATGTGGAGACCACAAAGCTGTTGTCTGAGCTTAGAAAAGGTTGAGCTTCCCCATTGTGATGTATTCTTAACTCTTGCCCTCAGTACTATTTAATTCTTCATGTTGAGTAGGGCAGGGGGTATTTGTTGTGTAGCTTTTATTTTATTTTATTATTTTATTTTTTATCAACATGTTGACTCCTCTCTACTAAACTCAAGCAAGCATGTTCCCAATGTCTTTTCTTTCATGCTTTACAAAGGTTTTTTCTTTTCCTTGCTGAGCTTTGTTTAGCAAATATGCAAGCTTTAGAAAGAGAGACCAATACCTACTTGGAAGTGGCCCAGGTGATTCTTTTTCTTTTTCTTCTCAAAACTCCTTTTTATTATATTTTTCATTTATCATTGTTTCTAGCAAGAGGCTTCTTTGTGTTCTGAAGGCTTCACCAGATACCTGGAAAGATGCTGGGGTGGGTGGGGCCTGTGTGGCAACACTGATGCCATTTTTCAGCTTTGACAAGACTGGAATCTTAATAATGTGGATCCACTTACTTCATGTGGAAGAGGTGAAGTGTGGCACTTTATTGCTGAATATTGCTTTGTCTTAAAGTTATACTTGGGGGTGAACTCCAGGCCCTCCTCCTTTGTCACACTGTGTTGCCAACTAAGGAGAGTGCACCTTTCTCATTATTCTTGTACTTACTAACCTGGATGTAAAAGGAATTGTGGTGCATTCATAGAATTCATTTGAGTTGGGATATTTCACATTATAAAACGAATAACAATCTAAAGTCTATTCTTCACCTCCGCCTAGTGTAAGAAATGACAGCTAGCATCTTCATAATATGGGTTCTAGCTAGTAGCTAGCCATTCACTTCATCAACAAAAAAACAATTAAAAATTAAAATGCAACACTTATGGTAGCCTTTGATATAAAAAAATAGAGCCTCCACTAAAACGATTATCATCCATCCATGCACACTCAAACCAGCTACTATATTCATCCTCTTCCATCTCTCTTATTTTAATTTATTTTAATTTTCTCCCTCAGGTCTTGCCATTCCATTGGCCCTTTCACAAAGACCCCACAGCTGCAGCAAATGAGGGTGATTTCCTTCCTTGCCTTCCCTTTTGTGCCTAGACTTTTCCAACTCATTGCAACTGGAAGGCATGCCAAACAAAACCAAGTGTAGCCCCCAAAAGAAATGAAACAAAGTTGACTATTACTCTGTGGTGAAGAAAGTTTAAAACAGATTCTGACATAGTTTAGTGGGAAAATGGCAGCTTCTGGGGAGCCATTTTTTCTTCATTTTTGTTGAATGATGTGGAGTGTGAGCAGTGAATGTATGGGTGATGGGGGGTGGGGGGGGGGTATACATCTCCTATGTGTTCAAAGTAGAGTGGGGGTGTGGTAGGGTGGGCAAGAAGAAGAAGAAGAAAAAAATGCTTTCCTGTTTAAAAAACAGAAATTTGTCTAAGTCACCCAATTACTTTAACACACTAAAGGAAGTGTGTTCAAGTAAGCACACACATACACACACACATATATATATATATATACACACACACACACACACACATGCAGACACTTCCCTTTGTAATGCAAGAATGAACTTGATTCTTTTCTTGTAACACAGGCAACTCTATTTATGTAGAAAATAAAAGAAATTATTCCAATGCAATTGGAGTAAGCATTATTAGGACAACATATGGATTCGTAGTTAATCGGCCAAGGTTCTCAAAAAGTAGTAAGTAGTTAGTTTGGTCATGAAGTAACATGAATTTCTCATTCATCCGCAAAATTACGTCCATCCATCCATCCAAATCTCTCATTGCAGTAGCAAGAAAGGCAGGGGGGAGGGGAGCCAGGCTGGTGGTGGTGGTGCATGATGTCATAATAATAATCCCAATGATAATCGAACTCACTCAACCCAACAACGACACACTCTCCCTCTTTCTGCCCACTGGGCCCCGCTTCCTCCCCCCCCCTTTTACTTACACACACGAGGGCAATCAAGCCCACCCCCTACCCCCACCCCCTACTGCGATTCATTCCCCCATACCCGCGCACGGTGGGTTTGACCCATCCTTGACTGGGAACCCTACCACGGTTACCCACCCACCTTCTTCTGCTCCCCCGCCTCGGTCACCTACAGCCGTTACGCAATAGAGCCTCGGTTCGACCCAGCCAGTGGCAGGTACCCGCGCCGAGAGGGGCGGTTGGGGGGGGGGGTGCTGACCAGGTGCGAGGAAGTGCGCAAGGAAGCGAGCAAGCAAGCGAAAGGGAAGGGAAGGGAAGAAGGCCTCACTCCACTCCACTTCTCCTTTGCTGAAGAGGAGGAAGAAGAAGAATCTGGGTCGTCTTTCTTTCTCTTTCTCTCTTTCTGTCACTCTCTTTCTCTAACCAAGGCTTCTTTCTTGCCCTGGTTAACGTCTCCCTTCGGTTAGCTTTGGTTTGCTTTCTTCATCCCCTTCCTCTTGTGCTTGTGCTTTGTCTTGCGTTGCGTTGTGCCACTTTGCCTGGCCAGATCTGATGATGATGGTGATGATGCCATTTGTTCCCATATATTTTTGCCCTTTTGCCTTTTGCACTCATCATCATCATCGTCGCTAACTGTCGTCGTAAGTTAATAATCGTTCTTTCCTTACTCATTCATTCCCCGTCGTCTACTACTCATTCCGCTCCCCACCCCACCTGAAGTGGAGCTCTCTCTGTCTCTCTGTCTGTCTGTCTACTCTCTACTCTCCCTCTGCCAGTTTCCGCATCACGACCTCGCGGATCAGAAGAAGAAGAAGAAGAAAAAGGTCTTGTGGTTTTCTTAGTCGAAAGTAAGAAACTTGTTTCAGGGAGACCGAGGTGGGTGGGAGGTGGTGAAGCAGTGTTGTTTTGCTGGTGTTGTTGTTTGTTTGTTTGTTTTTTTTTGGCGCTCATTTAGCTTTTCTTGTATGGTGAGGATTGCAGCAGGTTTGTGAGCTTTAGAGAAGAGCGACAGAGAAAGGTTTGCATTTGAAAGGAGGAAGGGAGGTGTTGTTCATGAGTGGTGGGAGAAGAGAACGATTTTGTGTGAGTATTAGTGTGTGTGTGTGTGTGTATATATATATATATATATATATATATATATATTCCTTCCCATGTGGGTCTGATTGTTTTCGGAGTCCATGGGATTTTGGGGGAGTTTTAGTTTGCTGCTGCAGTGATTGTGAGGACTGAGCTCGCGCTGGTACTATGGTTCTTATCGGAAAAAAAAAAAAAAAAAAAAAAAAAAAAAAAAAAAAAAAACTAGAAACAATCGAAAGCAAAAGAATGTTTGGTTTGGATGTGAGAAACTGTAGTGTTGCGGCGTTGCGAAGGGGTGGTATAGAGTCGAATAATGGGCGTAGTGAGGCATGGAAGTGTGGAGGGTTGGGAGGGGAGTTAGGGCTGTCACTGTTGAGGGATAGGCTTTCGCAAGCTGTTTTAGCTGGAGGTGTATCTGGCTGGCGGTCGTCCATTGCGTGGGATTTGGCTCTGGTGCATCTGATTATTTGGTTGAGGAGTGTGCAAGTCTATGTGTCATTTTTCTGGATTCTAGGATGTCATCTCCTTTGATCTGCCTCTTTTGGTGATTTGGGGTTTTGTTTTGCAGTAGTATTAGGGTAGGATGGTATTCCATTTATCGACATGGTGGTTGTGTCTACAAGTGTGAGATGCATCCTTGTTTCTGTTAGCTCATGTCTCGGTGACAACTCTGCTATTGGTTGACGCCTATTCGCTGGAATTTTACAGGCGAGCACAGAAGAACAGGAGAGGCTGTTTCATGCATGGTTTCATTGCGAGGTTTGAACTTGAACATAGACGCCTGTGTTCTCGAGGAGGCGAAACTTGGTCAGAAAACATTAGAGTTGTTTAGTGAGGGAGACGGGGAATACTTCTCTAAAGGTTACTTTTTTCTTGCTGCTGGTGTCCTGCATTGTTTCGCAAGGTCGAAGTATTTGGTTTCATTTGCTAGTGAATGTCAAGCCTGGCGGTTCTCTAGGTGCCCGAGCTGCCTACGGACAGACCGGTGAAGGCGTTGCATGTGGGTTGTCACGTGCATAGAATTATTGTGAGGGAATGGGTTTGCGGCTTCCCATACATTGTTCCTTTAAGTTTTGAGAGGACTTGGTGTTTTCCAGAGCCAGCACGTTCACCTCGAGATCGTGGTCGACTTGGTTCTCCACTACAGTAGTTGATGTGAGTTTTAAGCAAATGAAAGGGTTTCGTCTACAGTGCTGGTGGCATCGAATGCACTTATGTGGTCCTGGTAGATCTCTGTAGGAGTGGCAGATGGACCGCGGTTTATAGCTTGCTAATTTTTGAGATCCCAGTGAATACGTAGCATCATGATCCAAACGAGAAAAGGGATGCAAGTGCGGGTTGGTTGGTTAGTGTGAACAAAACATCTTTCGCTTTTAAAGTATTGTAGCCCTGGAATCCTCAGGGAGTGAGGAGGCAGTGATGCCCCCATCGGTCTTCCCAGACGAGGTTCTCGAACACGTCTTGGTCTTTCTGGATTCCCATAGGGACAGAAACTCTGTCTCGCTGGTGTGCAAAGCCTGGTACAAGGCCGAGGGATGGAGCAGGCGGAGAGTTTTCATTGGGAACTGCTACGCGGCTTCTCCGGCCCACCTCATCAAACGTTTCCCCAAGTTGGTAGCCCTTGAGATGAAAGGGCGGCCGAGGTTTACTGATTTCGGCTTAGTTCCACAAAACTGGGGCGCTTTCATTCAGCCATGGATCGAGGCTATGGCTGAGTACTACCCTGGGTTAGAAGAGCTCAAGTTGAAGCGCATGACTGTGTCCGATGAGAGTCTGAGAATGGTTGCTGTCGCTTTCCCCAATTTTCGATCTTTACGCCTCACCAGCTGCGATGGGTTCAGTACAGATGGGATCACAGAGATCACGAAAAATTGCAGGTATTAAATTTTTCTTTTTACTTTTAATCGATATTATTTGATGTCACTTCGATGTAGGAACTTACTAGGGTATTATTTGACGAGTATTCGTGAAGTTCATGTGGGCTTCTAGTAATCTTTCCACATGTCATCATCTGCGAATGAACGACAGCGAAATGATTTTTAGTACGTCGACGCAACAGCAGCAACTTTTACGTCGTCGTCTTTTTTAAAAGATTAACACATGTTAAAATAATAACAATAATAACAACAATAAAGTAATATGGACATATTTGAGATACTATGTGTGTGCTAATCTATTTGCTCCTGTGCGCGTAGAAATCTCGCAGTGCTGGATCTTCAAGAGAACGATATTGATATTCGGAGTGGAGACTGGTTGAAAGCTTTTCCAGAAACCCAAACATCTCTAGAGTGGCTCAACTTTGCTACTGTGAAATGCATGATTGATGAAGAAGCCTTCCAATGTTTGGAAGCTCTGGTGGCTCGCTGCCCATGTCTAAAGCGGCTCAAGTTGAACAAGGATATCTCTCTCGATCAGTTGCGAAAGCTTTTGCTAAGAGCTCCGCAACTGGAAGTGTTGGGCACAGGAATATATAACCAAAATTTGTCATGGGGTAAACTCCACGAGCTTCAGGGTTCTCTCAAGAGGTGTAAGAATCTTCGGAGCCTGTCAGGGCTTTGGGAAGTAATTCCAATGTGCCTACCCACGATGTACCCAGTCTGTTTGAATCTAACTAGCCTCGATCTATCAAATGTCACTCTCAAGACTACGGATTTTACCAAGTTCATCAGTTATTGCACTAAGGTGCAACGCCTATTGGTTGGTCCCTCACCTTCACTGTAGAATCAATGTGAGCAGCAGGAGTTTAGTTGAATTTGCGATCATTTCTGCTAAACGGGGACACTCTGTCCAAAATTAGCTTGTAACTGTCCCCATACAAACTTAACCCTAATCCCTGTGGTGTTGTGCTTCAGGTTCAGGACTTCGTGGGTGACAAGGGATTAGCGGCTGCAGCAGTGAATTGCAAGGATTTGCAGGAGCTTCGTGTCTACCCTATTGATGATGATGGCCTTGTCACAGAACAGGGCTTCATAGCGATCTCCGAGGGATGCCCTGAATTGAGGAAAATTCTGTACTTCTGCAAGCAGATGACCAACGCTGCAATGACTAGGTTTGCCGAGAACTGCCCGAAGATGACCCACTTCCGGTTGTGTATCATGAAGTGCTACATGGAAGATTGCGTAACTGGACAGCCCCTGGATGAAGGATTCGGAGCAGTTTGCAGGCTATGTGTAGATCTTCGGCGACTGTCCCTTTCGGGGAAGATGACCGACAAGACCTTTGAGTATATTGGTCGGTATGCTAAAAATCTAGGTATGCTGTCAGTGGCATTTGCGGGGGATAGTGATGTTGGAATGCAGTACGTTCTAGATGGCTGCCCAAGGCTTCGCAAGCTGGAGGTTAGAGATTGTCCCTTCGGCGATGAGGCCCTCTTGACGGGCATCGAGAAGTACGAGTCCATGCGGTCGTTGTGGATGTCGTCGTGCCATCTCACCCGGGATGGTTGCCAGTTCTTGGCAGCCAACAATCCATCGCTCAACGTCGAAATTATCAAGGATGTTGAGAAGCCACCCCATGAGCAAGGTCAGTATGTCGAAAAATTGTACGTTTACCGCACCATTGAGGGGCGCCGCAGCGATGCCCCACACTTCGTAGAAACTTTGAAGTGAAAATACATGGCATATACTTATTCTACTGCTTCCCCTTTCTTTATCTTTTCCGGTTGTTAGGACTCCTTGTCCATTATTTTCTTTCTTCCATCCCTACATTTGCTCCACCTTGTGAGAAGCCATAGACTCAGAGAAGGAGAGGCAAGGGGTAAAAGTGAGAAGCCCCCTCGGAGAGGTAGACGGCTTGGCTGTAGATGACCTTTAGATGGCTGGTTGGCCGTCCGGCTGGCTGGCTGGCTGGCTGGCTTGCTTTCTCTGCAGTCAGCTTTAGGCTTGGGTGCTACAAGAGGTAGCTTGGATACTGTACATAATATCTATTGTAATTCCCTTGTAGAGAGCTTAGTACACACATTTCTGTAGGAAAGTCTGCCGAGCTGTTTTTGGGGCCATCTCATTTATCTCACAATGTTGATTGCATCTGGACTTCCCTCACCCGAAGGACCCGGTCCAGTAATACGCAAGATGTTGATGGGCTGTCATTGGGCACCTTTACGCACTTTCTGTTAACCTTGATGGTCCGTGTTCAGTAAAAAGGAAAAAAATCCCTCACACATGGTCTCTTCTTCCATGTTTCTACTAGTTTCCAGTTGCCTGCAGGTTTGGCCGATTATCAGTATTGCAGTGTGTGATGGGCATTGTTCTGTTACATAGAGTGTGCCTATGTTCCATTACAAGGACCTTTGTTTTCTTATATTTTCTTGCTTGCCACCTTCCCGCTGGTAACAAGTGGGCAGGCTGGTATTGCATCTTGGTGTCCTTGCGAGTGTCAGGCCAGCTCTCTTTACTCTGAAGCCTGCAAAGCCTGCACCTCCCCCTGACATCGCTTGTATGTACGCAGTCCCGGAAATACTAGACTAGGCTAAATCTATTAATTCTTGATCAAGCACATCGAGGCTCTTCGTAGCCTTGTTTGCCACAAGCTAGAGAGCTAGTTTATGGTGTGGGTGTGGAATTCTCGAACCAGATGTAGGAACATACTGCTCAGCTCAACTCGGCCCAGTGTAACTCCAGGTTTCTATTTGACCTATTACTTTCAGCTGCACGATTAGCCACATGTTACATCTTGGTTGCCTCCCTGTTTGAAAACGATGTATCCGATTTACACTAAAAGTGTTAAAGAATTCCATGTGTTCACTACTCTTCATTTATTGCTTCTATGACAGAAAACCTCCGGTCTCGTGAAGTCTGACAAGGTTTGGCTTCTGTGACAGAGGCGGCTGCCAATAAAGTCAATTTGAAGTACATGCCCATCTCTGGATTCAAATCGTAAAAGCGTTTAGTTCTCCACCGATGCTCACAAAATAATCTAGAAATGCATCTCTCTTGCATTCTTTCGCAAAAGTCAATGTACACGATTCATCTTTGTTTTCCCAGCCTGTTGATAGCTATTCTGTAATTGTAAAGCCGGTTGCATAGACCACCTTTTCAGACAACTATTATTAAAGCATTTCATCATGAGGGAAATTCAATGCATTAAGACAAATTGCAGAAATATTAGGGGCAATAGGAACTGCAGGAAAGAGGAAGCACCGCAGAAGCTCCTATTTCTCATCAATGTAAGCGTCCTGGCGAGAACACATGAAACATGGAACTAAATCTCCTGGGGACAGAATGTACACAGGCATCTGAGGAATCTGATACCAACTACTGCATGTGCTTCTAACTGATCAACTGTAGGGTTACCGTCCTTCCCTCCCCTGCTTCTTTGGCCTCAGAAACCACACATGGTCTCATATTTGTCTCAACTATTGGCCGCACTGGTGCACCTCAATCTGCACTTTGTCTAACGCTTGCTTTTCTGCATCATTTGATCGGTTGTAATGAGCTGAGAGTAATGGGGTTAAGGTGATTCTACTGTAGAGTTTTTGGCTGGATCCTCTCTGGGCTTGCCTGATGCGGTGAACATGCTGGCTTTCTGTAAGGGTGGTACACCTAGGTAGCGTTAAGCCTAGAGTGTCGAAAATCTGAATGCTCCACATGCAGAGTTAAAGAGTTCGGACACTTGTGCTTGCCCGTTGCAAGCCTGACTGTAATAATCATTGGCAGATGCAGCCAGATGCTTTGACTAAAAACTACGCGTGGACATTTGATGTTTGGGTTTATCACAAGAAATCGAGAGTTGTAAGGAAGCACCAAGTTGGTGGGTCTGATCCACGGACGAAGCTACTGATTGTAACCACTGTTAGTCCAAGCATCCTCCCTCGCGAAGCTGCAGAAAATGTTTCGCTTAGCCGCTCAACCCCATCGTCATTCTCTTGGTTCTCATTGATCTGGTTCACAAGCTCCGCCCACAATTTCAATCGCCCATTTTCATTCTACATGGTTTTCGAGTAGGCGGGTTTTCAAGATGACAACAGGAACGAACTTGCACCCGCCCACACAGGATTCAATCTCAAAAGCTGCAAATCCCATCGAGAACAGGTGTGTTATCTACGTCAGCCCATTTTTTTTTCAAGAGTTTCAAGACACTTGAATGGAATAAAAATGCGCTTGAATTTAAGCTAGCCTGGAAGAGTCATGGGAGCCATTCACAGCGCAATCTCCAGCCTTCTCAAGAAATTGTGTAAGGAACATCTGGCAGTTAACCTCACACAAATAACTCCAACATGAAGACTAAGTCATGAGAGAACGGCGGAATTCTCAGGTCGCAGACTTCTGCCAGCCCTTTTGGATATAGGTTGGTAGCCACAGAACACATTTCTCTAAGTTCAGAATATCTACGACTAAGGGGAACCAGCAGGAGAAAATTAATCAAAAATGATTTAATGGTCATTGGGTCGAAGTAGACGTACCCTGAATATTTGCTCATATTTGATGCCAATATAGCAGCCAACCGACTGTGGGGATCTCATCCAGATTGTCTGCAAGGATCTCTAGATATCCGTGTTTTGCTGCGGTAAGCAGATTCTTGTATCTTTTCCACAAAACTACACATGACACGACCAAAATGAATTCCAACGCTACGTCTTACTGCAGCAGACTGACAAACGATATTGTCAAGAGCATCATGGTACTCTTTGCATCCTATGCTGCTGAATCTCGAGTTCCCGAAACCTCTTCTCTGCCCAATCTTGGAAGAGAGACCTCACGTTTGTCTCTGCACTAGGGTAGAAAAAAAATGCGACCGACCACATCCATCAGCCATTGATAAAGTATTATGTTTGCATGATGGATTCACCAAAAGTTGCATCGAATCCGATCACTAGCAATGCAGCCACCGGGGTTGGGATTTTCGCAACCTACAGGATCTGCACTAAGGAATGTCGCAATCACTTTGTCAGCCACCCATGCTTCATCGATGGGTCACATTTACAGCGTGTGAGGGACGATATGGTAGCCACTCAACATGCACAGTTGGAACCCTAATCATGTGTTGTGAGCTTGAGAGACAGCGAGAGAGAGAGAGACCTTCATCAGTTCTTTCTTTTAACTCTTTCTAACGCACCCAATACAAGTTGAATGCCACCATGTTTTCTTGTCGAACCCACAAGATCAAGCCTCGAGTTGTCTATCCATCAATCACACAGATTCTCTCATCATCAATACCACCTCAAATTTCTTCTAGTAGAGGCTCTCATCAGCTTTCAGCTCTGAGCGCAAACTTGCAAAATGCCTCCATCACTCCATGAATAAACAATTCTGCTTTCGTGGTCTGATGTTTATGTGGTCATCTAGACCCAAGGGGCAAGGACGGCGAGATTAGGAGCCCTCCAACATTACACACACACACACCAGAATACATACGATACGATATATGTATTTAGTTACGATATATGTATCTGTTAGCCCTTTCTCCTAATGTCCGTTTGGTGTTATGGTAACAAGCTCCATCAAACTATGCAAGGATAGTTAATTTGTAGATGCTAAGGATCTTCTTGATTAAAGTAAAAGGTGTCTATCTATAAGTAGTGATATGATTGAATACAATTAAAAGGTTGTTCCTTATGTTTTTTTGTACGTTGAATTAGTAATCTTTGTTTGTATGTTTTTAATAGAAGAAGAAGATGACTATAGCAATTAGAAGATATTACTCTTTGTATTGCAACTTCCATACAAAATTATACATCAATTTATTTATTTATTTATATATAGAAGATAAATTATTTATTCATTGTATTAATTAATTTTTGGTTAAAGAACATAAAAATATATGGAGTCTTAACACCTTGAAAGGGCATTGATATATTGTCACAAGCTATTGTGATACAAATTAATTAGGTACTCTTTGTAACTTTGTGAATAAATAAACCACTTTTTGAGATTTTGAAATTCTATTATAGTATCTTCTTTGTTTTGATTTTAAATAGCTTGTTGACCATCTATGGTTTGTCTTAGCTATGTAGTAGTGCTTCTCTTTTGTCATAATATTTTTAATTTTTAATTTTTAATTTATATTAACATTAATTCTTATAAAATATGAAGATATATTGTAAAAATAAATTATTTTTTTAATTAATATCTAGTCTATTTCTTTACTTAAAAGTGATTGAATTCCACCAGCCTTGGTACTTTTGCAAGAACTTGTAGCCTAATTTAATTGTATATGTTATTATATTAAAATCTTCTTTCTAGTAATAAATTTCAAAGTCATAACTTTGGTATTTTATTAAAGCATTTTTATCATGATGTCTTCTTTATATTTCTTTGTTTTTCTCAAGAAAAAAATTTGTATACAAGTAAGGTTTTTATTGGCTAAATCCACTTTAGGAACTGTAAGTGATTCTAAAGTTATATTATTGTAATGTAGAAATATTGATTATGTCCTTACCATATGCATTTTTATTTTTATTTGCTTAAAAATTTCAAAGCATGTGTACAAATTATCTGTTAAGGATGTGCTGCTTATTTTAAATTAAAAACTTTAAAAAATATGATTCAATTATAATGTTTAGATCAATATATATATATATATATATATATATATATATATATATATATTTGGTTAAATTATTTTAAAAAATAAAACCATCTAAGATCATAGATACCTACTTAGTAGATGTTGAAAACCTACATCATTGGTGGTAAAAAAAATATTGAAACACCATTTCTTTTTTCAATAAAAAATATTTTTTTAGTAAATTGCAAACATCTTAAAGCTTTTGCATTATTCTTTTGTGAATTTTTGCTATCCTATGAGGCTTAATTTGGATATTTATTTTAAAAAACTTCAATTCCTAATATAAAAATCTGTTATATATCTCAAAGAAAGTTAGAAAAAAGTATAATTTGTTAAAGCTTTAGCATCTTAAAGCATGCTTGGTCAATGCAAAGCTGCATTTTAGATCCACTTTTCTATTTATTTTTAAGGATCAAAGTCCATTCAATATATATATATATATATATATATATATATAATTTATTAATATTTCATTTTTATATAATTCTATGATATAAGAATAAAAAAAATTATGTTCTTGAATATGATGCTCTAATCATGTATTTTAAAAGTAAAATTATGAAAGTATTCTTTAGATATACTATTCTTTAAAAATTAATATTTTTTTATACTTTTTGATTAATTATTGTTAGTTTTTATTTATTTATTTATTTATTTTCCTACAATTAAATTTTTATTAATT